CTTTGAAGTCTTTAAAAAGGATACGCTAATTACTCACATTGCCATAATTTCGCTCCTAGCAAGGAACAGAAAAGAAGTTAGGCACTGAATACTTTCATCTTCATGAAAAAGTTGCTTCTGGGAGTCAGGTCTGGATCTAAACAAAACAGTGAGCCAGATTAAGTATGTCTATACTTCTCGCCTTCTTTCTTCCTCCACTCTCCATCTCCTGGCTCACCTCCTCTCCACTCCTCCAATTTCAAATACTATCCTTATTAAATTAAAAAACTTTTCAAAGCCTGTTTTCAATGTTTGATATAGAACCCACTGTGGGTCATTGCTCTTCATGTAACTTATGTATTTCCACGATACTTGAGGGGAGCATTAGCCTTCTCTGGCTAATCCTGAAATCTCAAACTATTATCCCAGTGACAGTCGAGGGGGTCTCCTGGACTCCCGCCAAGTTACCAGCTCTCCAGCTCTGCAAGTACATTGGTCACAGTGTAGCAGAAGACAGTGTTCTCAAAAGAAAAGGAGGGAAGGAGGAAGGGTAGAGAGGAAGAGAGAAGAGTCAGGGGAGAGAAGAGACAGAGGTGAGGTAGAAGAGAAGAAAGTCAGGCAAGGCCAGGACAAGAAAGAAAGGAGGGAAAAAGATAAAAGATAGTGCAGTCCAAGACATATTACATAGTCTACATAGACAGCCCATCTCATAGTCAAATATCACCGTGGTGCCCTGACATCTTTCAGTGTCACAAAAGGAATATCACCCAAAGTCATTGATAGCCTCTGGGCGGGGGGCACCTTTCATATCTAGCTCTTTTACTGGTGTAGCGTTTCATTCTCTCAGTTCAGTCAATTGTGCTTTCCTCCATCAGCTTTACGCTCTTCTCCCAATCCAACTGTCTCCTGGCCATCGCTCCAAATTCTCCCTGCTCTGGACAGGGATTCCTTAGATCTCCCAAGTCCACTGCAACAGCCCTAAGAGTTCATGTCAGGAGGCCTCCCCTCCTGTGCTTCTGGATCAGCTGGCCTCACATGTATGGACACCAGTGGCACAGGAGGTGGAGGGCCAACAGATACAAGTGGAGGGAATCCAAGTATCACAGGGAGCGGCTGGGTACCCTATTCTTGCATTGTGGATTTTCTCTGACCCATAGTCACAGGAGCATCCTTGCTTTAGTTGGAAACGGGTTGAAAAATTTTCCTCTCCAATTGGTGTCTTTCCTAGTGTTCTCAAAAAAAGTTTGCTTGGTCAGGGTTGACAAAGTATCCACTATTTAGTTGTCCACTAACTTACTCTCACTGGACCTTAAGGAAATAGCCAAATAAGTTCAGCTCTCCGTGACAAACAGGCCATCACTTTTATCTTTCTTAAACTTGAGATCTTGAACACAGAGGCAGCCTATTTTAAAATCCCCTAAGTCACCAAGTTAGAAATCAAATCCTTGCTGTAGCCCAGCAAAACTTCATTTCCTTCTATTCCTTCCTCATTCCTATAGGCCCCTCATGACCCCACCATTTGCCATCTAACCCCCCTCCTTTGTCCTTCCGTGGTTCTTTTCTCCCTCCTCTCCTTTTCTGACATCACTCCTCCTCCCTTCATTTCCTCTGGGAAAAATGAGGCTCAATGAGATGGGTTAGAGGGACTAGGAGAGAAGGAAAGGAGACTCTCTGAAGCTCCAGGGAGTTGCAGGCCAGGACTGATCTGTAGCCTCCCCATTCAAGACTCTGTCTTTGCCCAGGAATCTGAAACCAAAGGAAAGAAAAAAAGGAGTACCTCCATACCCCGTCCCCTTGTGCTTTAAGTTGCCAGCATGAAACAAAATGTCCTACTTATGTAAGTAGCAGTCTCCTACCCAGGAGCTAAGAATGACCAAGTGTCACCATGTGCTGTCATCAGTAACATGAATGAGACTATTTTGCATATCAAGTGAGAATAAGTTTAAAACACTGAAAAAGATAGCCCTTAGAATTTCCACTGTCACGTAAATGTCAGTGGGCCAGTTTGGCTTTATAAAGGCCATTCGAATAATGTGCTCTTTATTAATTCAGTGCACAACAATATAGGAGCCATCAATAAAGGGGTCTTTTTATATCCTGAGGGTATCTGCTGTTAGGTCTACAATGACAAACTTTTATTTTTTAATCCTAAATGCAGGCCTCAAAGTATTTTGAATAACTAGGAAAATGGGACCTGCTGCATGTATTCTTAGAGGAGCGTTTCTTCTCTATACCTGGTTTGTGTGATTCTTTCTCTATTCTGTTTCAAGCCTCTTCCCTGGCTCTTTACGGTACCTTGTCCAGCAGCACCTGGATTTGCTTCATGCTCTGCAGGAAAGGGTCCTGAAGTGGCCACGCCAAGGCGTCCTTGGAGATTTATTCCTTAAATTAACAAATGATGAGGTAAGTTTTTTAAACAATTCTTTATAAATTTGAATTTTATTCATCTGTGTCCCCCTCATCAACATCTCTTAACAGAAACTCTAGAATCAGTGAATTTCAGAGCTAGAAGAACTGCTGAAATCTAGTCTAACTCTCTCATTCTACAGATAACATAAAGTTCAGAGACATTTCGACTTTGCTGAATCACCCAGTTAGCTAGACAGTTGTAGATCTGTGCCTGGGACCTGTATTTTCTAATTTTCAGTTCATCACTTTCCACTATACTATACCTGCTGCCATTGAACACGCACATGTATGTCTGTGTATATGTGTATTTGTGTATAAATATATGCATGCATATATATCCATACATACATAGAAAGTAAATGTATGAAAACTTGTATATATGTATGTGCTTTCACTTGCAATTTCATTCCTTAGAGATTTTTAAAAATGTGATGGGTGGTTATTTGTCTTGAATATTTCTGTTTTCACTTCCTTGGAGAGGGTCCGAAGTTTCAAAATTTCTGTGGTTCTACAAATTAAATATAAACCCAGCCAGAAGATGCAAACTCAAATGCCTACAGAGTTAGACAGCGATATAAATGAGAAGCAGGCTGAATTTAATACAAGATGGAATGCTGGGAAGTGAGTTTAAGTGGAATGCATATGCTTTCCTACAAGGAGTAACTACTTGGCTTTATCAAGTTATTATGCAGGAAAAAAAGACTAGAGTTGCCAGATCTGATATTTTAAAAGCAGCTGGAAATCGAGAATTTTGTGTGAGTTTTGCTTATCTTAAAAATATTGTGTGGGATAATTAAAATTGGTCTGTAAGCCAGATTTTGCCTGCAGTCAGCCTCTGTATATCAAGGATTCTCAACTGTGGATAATAATACAAAGTTTACAAACTATCTAGTTGCCTAGATTAGAGTAGATGTAATGCTATCTTTCTTATATCACTTTTACTCATTTGTATTCAGTACACTTTTCTGGATTGAGAATTGTTATTTCTGTGGAAATATAACTTTGGAAGCTGAGAACTGTTTTCCCAAAGGAAACAGGTGAACATGCAATTAATGGAAAAAGTTAAGGACCATTGGTCTAGACACTATGAAGTGTGTTGAACAAAGACCCTCATTTGGATGTAGATGATTAAAATTAAAAGTAATTTTAAAACAAAATATGCATTTTTATCATTAAACAACTTAAAAATACTTTTTCAGCTTACATAATTCCTCTCCCCTGCCTTGCTTTATCACTTCACTTTTTCCAAAGTCCATAGGGATATCTACCTTAAAACCCAGAAGGTTTTTTCAAAATGATGAATAAAAAACAAGAACATATTAATGAACACATTAAAAGAATGATTAAGATAATCTCTGTAAAGTACTTCTTTTTGATATATATGACTCTATAAAAAATATTGGCTGCTATCATTCCTGTTCCCAAGTTCTTACCATGCATTTTTATGTTTGTTTTCAAGAATAATTTCTTGGATTACTATGTTGCCTACCTGAGGGACCTGCCTGAATGCATCTCTTTGGTTCATGTTGTTGTACTGAAGGAGGTAAGCTCACTCCGTGCACTGCCCTTTGGTGACCTGCATACTGTATGATGTTGCTCATCTGCCCAGGAAATACAGCACATGTACTCTGAGCTTGCCTTCCAGGCTGGGGATTGGCTTGAGCAGAACCATTGACACTCCCCCCTGGGGTTAAAGAAGCCCATGCAAGGATCAGTGTCATTGCTTTGTCCTCACCCTGCCTTACTGACACTCCAGTCCACTGGAAGCTAGGCAAAGTAAACCGGTTTTCTAAGTGGAGATCTTCAGGCTGCAGCCTGTATGTTGTATGAGGATTTTTTTTTTTTAGGCTTGGGCAATATGAATCTGAATATTAAATTCATATAATCTGACTATTAAACTCAAGTCATCCTGTGTCTGTCAGTTTAGAAGATTGTAAAGTGATTCTATTCATGTAGCTTTAAGAATTGCTCATATAATGCTATATTAGGCGCTCAAAAAGCATGTATAAATATATAACAATTCTAGTTATTTTAGGCTAATAGGAAGAAACCATATCAGAAGCCCTAAAGTTAAGAATTAAGTTTCACAAGAGGTGAGGATCTTATTAATTTTCTATATCACCCCATTACTCCCAACCCAGTATAACGCCTACCACATGTTAATACTTAGAAAATATTTGAGAAAGGGAAAGGGAAGGGAAGGGAAGGGAAGGGAAGGGAAGGGAAGGGAAGGGAAGGGAAGGGAAGGGAAGGGAAGGGAAGGGAAGGAAGGGAAGGGAAGGGAAGGGAAGGGCACGGAAGCGAAGCAAAGGAGGGAAGGGACAGGGAGAAAGTCCAACATGTTTCCTGCTGCCAGGTAGCTGGCCAGTCTCTAACCACATTCTTTCACCCACTCTTATCAGGCTCAAACCCCCTCGTTGCCTTTAGTAAACCATTGTAATGATTACTTGCTGGAAAACCTTAATGGCTTCATTCAACTTAATTAATTGAGTGCCTACTTCTGTATAGCACTGTGCTAGTATCTGGGGTTGGGGATGCAGAGGGTAATTTGGAAAGCTGGGTAGATTAAAAAAAAAGTATATGATACACTCCCTGCTAAAGAATTGTCTCCTTTCCACAGCTACTGGTCCACAGCTGTTCTGGTGATGGCAGTTGTGGCATTCCTCTGTGGGAAAGGAATTGTTACACGGTTAAACGTCCCTTTCTTAGCAAAACGGAAAGTGGGCATGCGTGTGACAAACACAAGATGTAAGAAAAAAAAAAAAGAATTGTCTCCTTTGAGCATGTCCTTGAACAAGTGGCCTATCCAATGAGAGATCAATGCTTCATGACACTCTAGAGAAGTGCTCTGGGAATAAACCTTTTCTACTCTGGTGGGACTGGCACTGGGGTTCTGAAGCCAGAGCTGGAGGGACACTGAAGAGTGATCTACCTTTCTTTCATTCAGGGTGATGAAGAGATTAAATCTGACATCTATACACTGTTTTTTCACATAGTCCAGCGCATCCCTGAATATCTGATACATCTGCAGGTAGGCATGGCTGGGCAAGTCCCCAAAGTGATTTTCAGGCTAAACTATTGTTTTTGGCTTCCAAGAAACACTATGAGGGGTCAGGAAGGAATAATTAATATTTCTAAGATATATTTAAATGATTTAGAGTGTTATGATTTCTCCATCCCCACCTTGTGGTGTGAACTAAAAGCTCAGTCTCTCAAAATGTTTGGATGTCTTATCTTCACTTACTGGCAATCTCCACCTCTGCTGATCCAGCGTCTTTCTATAGCAGCTCCTGCTAGACTCTGACTACCTGTTCACTCCCTTCCACCTTTGTTCTCTAGCCATCTGAATGTATCCCCTAGCCCCACTCCCCACCCTCATCCCTACCCCCAGTGTCTAAGAACTATGTAACCTGTCCATTGAACTGCTACCCTGACTACTTTCTTTTGGCTTGAGTGCAGGGGTTTACTAAATATTGCTTCCATCTTACATCACAGAAGCATGAAGAAACTGATGAGCTGACTTCTCCACACCATTTCCCCACAGATCTTGTCCACCTTGGAGGAAATAGAGTTGAGAGGGAGACTCACAAACACCCTTACCAGCCCCTCTTCTTCCCACCACCCACCTGTCCTGGTTTATTTGCAGACTGATCTAAGTAATTCAGTAAATGCATCTTAGAAATGCTTGGGATTTACCTCAGGGAGAAGTAGCCCAGTATCAACATCAAAAAGACTTTCAATAGTATGGCTTTAGATCTTAAAATCATTTTCTCACGATAATTATTTTATTTAATCCTTTCAACAGTCCCATGAAATGGGTATCATTACTTTTTTTTTTTTAAGACAAGGAAATGGAGAGACAAAGAAGTGAAGTAACTTGTCTAAGTTAACATACTTAATAGGTGAACAGAAATTTAGGACTGAAACCCAGGTCTTGCAAACAGTATGGTAAATAAGAGCCCTGGTTCTATTGGCTGACTTGAGTTCAGATCCTGGTTCTGCCACTAACTAGATGTGTGACTTAATGAAGATTAGTTAACTTTGCTGTATTCATTGATTTTCTTGTTGTTGTTGTTGTTTTAAAGATTTTATTTATTTTAGAGAGAGGGGAAGGGAAGGAGAAAGAGAGGGGGAGAAACATCAGTGTGTGGTTGCTTCTCATGTGTCCCCGACTGGGCACGTGGCCTGCAACCCAGGCCTGTGCCCTGACTGGGAATTGAACCAGTGACCTTTAAATTCACAGTCTGTCATTTGATCCACTGAGCCACACCGGCCAGAGCTGATTTTCTTGTTAAATGAAGGGCTTTTAATGAGGCTATGGTAAAAATTAAATGACAAAATATATGTAAAGGACTTAGTGCTTGGCAATGGGAAGTACTCAATAAGTGTTAGCTTTCCCAAATCCAGCTTGCATGCATGTTTACTACAGCTCAGTAGGCAATGTAATAGAAGGAACCACCAGGCAAGGATTGAGCATACATCCCTCTCCTTCTAGAGTGCCTTGATGCCTGACATTTTCACCATTGGTCTGACTCCTGTGGGTCATATAAGTATTGCTTATTGACAGTGATTGTTAAAATGGCTCCATTACCTCAGAGGTCTAATTAATAGATCCTTGCATTTTTTCAGATGGAATTATCTTATGTTCACATCCATCTCAAATAGGAGCAATAGTGACTATTATTTTCCCTTGGTGTGATGGACAAAGAAAACAGCAAGTTTGACTGTTCAGCTTATAATTAGATTGGCCGTATGTATTGCTGTTTTGGTTAAATGGCTACCAAATTCTCACAACAAATCAAGGCAAGGTGCAGAAGAGACGAAACAACTTTTCATTCTAACTATGCAATACTGCTTCCTCTTTTCCTTCATTCAGAACGTCCTGAAGTTCACAGAGCAGGAGCACCCCGACTATTACCTACTTCTGGTGTGTGTTCAGCGTCTTCGAGTATTTATCTCACACTACACCCTGCTGTTTCAATGCAATGAGGATTTGCTTATTCAGAAACGGAAAAAGCTCAAGAAGTAAGGTTCTGATGGTGCAGTCTAGAGGGTTGATCAAAGGCGTCTGAGAACAGGACACAGACAATGTGGGTGTCTGTAACAAGTAATCACATTATGTGTTAAGTGGCTAATATGCAGCAACAGGAAGTAGAAGAGAGAAAAGGAGGGAAGAGAGGTGGCCAAACTGGCTACAAGAGGGAGACACCTACTGCCTGGTGGAAGTTACCTTAGAAAAATCAGTCCTTTCACTCTAATGATTATACAGACCTCCTCATATCTCATGTTGACGACCACAAAAATAGTTGTTCCCCTAAACTCACCAGATTTAAAAATACAGTTTAAAGGCCAGAATGTGGTTTCTTTAACTCAGCAAATATTTATTGAGCACCTATTTGTGGGTATCAGGTACTGTTCTATGCACTGAAAATACTGCAATAAAAAATATAGACAAAAATCTTTGCCACATGGAGCTTACTTTGTAGACCTGGACAGCCAGTTAATAAATAAGTTAGATGCTGATAAGTGCTACGGATAAAAATAAAACAAATAATGGAGAGGATGATGGTTGAACAGATTTCATGCCAAGAAGAAACAGGAAGGGCTGATGAGGGGGAATCAGGCTTCAGAGAGAACAGAAGCAACCGATAGCAGAACTTCCTAATGACCTGGACTTCCTTCAATCTCATTACATACTAATAAGGAAAGCAAGGTCATTCTTATGGTTGCTTCAGACAAGAAAAAGGTGCTATCTCCCAAGCCAGCACTCCTCTAATGGAGGACATCTCCCCAAACCATCGCTTTTCCCCAAATTCAATTCAGGCAATTTATCAGTATCCCTACTCCTGCCCAACATGCAGCTTGCACACCTATTCTGTAACAGGCCTGAGAGTGAGAGAGAGAGAGAACCTCACAGCTGGGCTTCATCTGAGAAACACTGTCTCCCTATCTTTCTTGGCATAATCTGTGTATTCAGAAAGCCAGTTTCCCACTGTACACTCTGAGAATTATTACTTTCATTCTATTAGGTCATCCATGGCAAAACTGTACAAAGGGCTGGCTTCCCAGTGTGCAAATGCCGGGCAAGATGCTTCCCCCACTGCAGGCTCTGAGGCTGTCCGTGACAGTGGGATCCACTCCGAAGAGATGCTGCAACCCTACCCTTCCGCTCCAAGTTCTGGCCCTCCCATCACGTAAGCACCTGTTGCTGTGGAAAGGTTAATGACAATGTCTTTGGGTCCCAGACAGTCTGCATGGGGGAGCAAGCCAGACTGGATTAGGAGTATGACCAACAGAACTCCATCTCTCTTGCCCCATCAGGCTTCTATGTGACAGGCAAGCAGCTGACCCAATGCTTATATCCTAGCAGGGGTGTCCAACCGGCAGCCCGCGGGACGCCTGAGGCCCAGGATGGCTATGAATGTAACCCAACACAAAATCGTAAATTTACTTAAAAGCATTTTTTTGCTCATCAGTTTTCATTAGTGTTTTTGTATTTAATGTGTGGCCCAAGACTACTCTTCTTCTTCCACTGTGGCCCAGAAACGCCAGAAGGTTGGATACCCCTATTGGAAGGGCAGGCCTAGAGGCTCAACATTGCTCCCAACAACTTAGTTACTGCACATAACCACCCTCTATCTATAGCATGAGTGTTTTTGGGTTTGAACAATGATAGAGTGGAAGAGAGTGTCCTAAGAAGACAAGAAGGCATTTTGTAACCCCTCAAAAGGGCAGGAACCCACTTAAGTTCTCCAAAACATTTAATGGAGGGAAAGGGAATCCCACTCAGGGGGTCAGTGAAAAGTCTGGGCTCTGAGGATAAGAAATAGGTCTGAGGTGATCCAGAACGAACGTTGCTTAGCTCTTTCCAATTCTCCTTGAAGCTTCCTAAGAAGATGACTTCATAAGCTCTGTTCTTCACTTATAATAGTTTCTCTGAAAGCTGCTCTGGGCTGTGGATGGATTTGACAGCCTTTTAACATCTCTGCATACAACCCTCTAACACACTAAGCTGAATTCTCATTCAGCAAACTTCTTGATGGTATTTAAGAGTAATGATTAGACCATTTATGTATCTGGAACTCATTTTACCTCTGAAGGACAAGGATAGTCAACTTGGTTACTTATGGAACCAGGGCTTCTGGAAGGATAAGGGAAACCAAAACTCAAAATTCCAGATCCCCACTTTACCAAATATAGACAATTCTCACAAAAGTAATTTCTTACACTATAATTTCTCCTTTGGGTTTTATCCTTAAGCAAAATTTACAAGTCATAATGAGAAGCTACTATTCTTTCCTAAAATTATAATGAAGTCAGTTAGAGGTAAGCCATTGAGATTATTTCAATTTTTAATTACTGCAGTTTTTAAAATGCCAATTAGTATCATTGGAAGAAGCAACTGGTCACAAATGCAAAATAAATCTTGTTTCCTCCTTTTGTTCTCATCTCTTAAAACTGAGAACATTTATCAGCGAGAGACTGGAGTGGAAGTGTGGAGAGGCAGGCGGAAGGAATTCCACAATCATTCTGAAACCTATGAGACATTAACCTTTCTATAAGTAGAGCCAAGGATGCTTTTCTTTCTATAGAGAAGATCCTAGAAGTCCTGCAGGGAGAGAACTCAACACAGAAAAAAACAAAAACAAGAACAAAAAACCTTTCCTGGGTAGAGAGTGGGAGAGAGGTAGGGAGAGGAAGTAGATATTTACTTTGTGGATCACTTCAGCTCTTAAGACAATGAT